ATCAAAGCTTTTCCTCTGCTTCTTTCATTCTTGAATGTTCCTTGCTCTCTTTGACTGCATTTTTTCAACAATATTTTTTCCTTTTCACATTATAAATCTATTGACTGCTATTTTTCTACTTTCCATTAGCATTACATCACATACTTCTGCAGCACTCAATGATTATTTTCATGCCATCAAGTCAGTGTCAACTCTTATCAGCCAGATACATTTTCTCTTGACAGTCTGCCCCTAACCTGATCCTTCAGCATCAGTGTTTTCATTCTGTTCCAGTGTCTAGATCAGGGGTGTCAAATTCAAGGCCCGTAGGCCAGATCCAGCCCGCAGGGTGCTTAGATCTGGCCCTTGGAACTGCCCTGGAAAAGATGAAAGACTGGCCCGTGATGCCTCTGCCAGGGAAAACGGAACTTGGGAGGGTGGCACATGGCCCTCCCAAGCTCCGTTTTCACTGGCAGAGGGTTTCAGGAGTCTGTCCCAGCCAAAAATGGAGCTCACGAGCCCGTTTTCATTGGCGGAGTGCTCAGGCCACCACAGGTGTTCCTGACACAAATGACATCAAGCTGGCCATGCTCACCCTGACCAGCCCTCCCCCCCCCCCGTGAGTTCAAACACAACCCTGATGTGGCCCTCAATGAAATTGAGTTTGACACCCCTGGTCTAGATTCTTGCACCTTATCTACCCTTTTCATTCATATTTTTCATGTAGGACTTATTATCCTACTGGGGTCAAGACCCGCAGTGGGGCTATGGTTAGAATGCAGTTAGAGAGTTCTGTAAAGCACTGTGAAGTGATATATAAGTCTAAGTGCTATTGCTATTCTAGTTTCAGTTATATTTTGTTTTAGGCTTTTCCCCATTAAGTTCTCTTTTCCTTCAAATCCATTCTTCACACTATTCAAAAATGGTGGTAGTTTCATCAACATAACCTCTCTACATCCTTGCACTCTTTAGTAATTAATTCTCTTAACCTTTCAACATAATCATTTTTGCACATGAATAAACTTACATTTAAACTACATATTTGAAACAGATTTTCCTAAGCAGACACCAGTTACCGTTCTCATTTGTTCTTCTTGGGTCTCATTGCTTATTTAGTTTTTTGAATTGCTCATTTAGTTTTTAGTGTTCTCTCACCTTGTTCAAACCATCTATTGAAGTTACCCAACAAGATAATTTTTCCTACATCATATTCATTCAGAACATCACACTATTTTACTGAAACTCGTCGCTGGCATGTACACCATTCACAAGAGTTTAACCTACAACTATTGTCAACCTACAGGATCTTAATTTCATAAGTATCTATAACATTTTTTTAACAGCACTTCATCTTTTCTGACATAGATTTTAGTTTTCATTTGTCATATCTCCTCTGCATGTATTCATCAACCCCAGGGTATTATACTAACTTCATTCACTTCTTTATTTTTGTTTTGTTTAAGAAAATTCTTTCCAGAATGGCACTTTGTCAATCTGTTGGCATTGAGACCTAACAAACTACCAAATCCTTCCACTGTCAATGTTCTTGCTGGAGTGCTATCTTCCATTTTTCCTGTTCTAGGAAAGTAGTTTCTAATTTCTTTTTCTGGGTAGGTCTTACTGGACATATATGAATAGATAGAAAAAAGATAAGATGGGTATAATGGATAAATACAAAGTTAAAGTATCAAAATGCCTATACAGACACAACAACCAGATTTAAAATAAATGCGCACTATTCTGTTGGTCTCCAACATCCTTTAGAGTGAATTTTTAGCAAGAATGATATAATAGCAGTTTCACCATTTTTACAGTCATGAAGTAAGTAGAAAGCAACCTTTTGGACCCGAGGGTTAAATCCTACTACCCTAATTGACTGGAAAAATGAAAAATGTTGCAACCTCACAGGGAAATATAAATGACTCAGGGAAAATAAATACAGTCATTACAATTTTTTACAGATTCCAAACCAGCTTCATTCTACCATATTTGTTAATAGTGTTATAAATATTATACTACCTGTGTTGTAGCATTCCTAGCTAAGGTGATTCTGGAACACACACAGAATAACCATGGATTCAGCTGTGAGGATCACTCTTGCCTTTAAGATGTAGCCAGTGAACTGCTGGGATTAGTATTAAATGACCTCAGCCAAAACAGACAGGAGTGCCTGGTAACAGGGCAAGAGGCAGTGCAGATAAGCCCTTAGTTTCACAGACATATAATATACCTATATTTGCTTCTTTCATTTAATCAATTAATCCATGCTCTTTAGCATTTACTCATATATTCCAAGTCACAATCTAACATATGTTGTCATTAGATGAGCCCATAACAACTCACCTCTACCACTGTTTTTCTAAAAAAAAATGTAACCAAAGCCATTTTACACCAAATGCATACATGCTATGTGATGCAAGCTAAGTTATCCATGATCTAAGAGACTAGCTTGCATGCCAACATACTGTTGCTTGCATCCCACTAAATAAAAGATATACAATATTTTAGCCCATCAGCAACTGCATGGCACTCAGTTGCTTTGGTTCTGGTGACCTATTTAGAGGTGATCTTGGACTATTGGCTCTTGCTTGAAAAGTCACCTTGTTGCATTGAAAAACTCTCCCTCTGGGGATTGGGCAAGGTATTTAATCATGTTTCAATGATTTATAATTTTGGTTTGGCTTCATTTTCTTCTATTTTCTGTTGTTTTATCTGGTTCCTCTTGTTTTACTTCTATGTAAGCCACCCAGTCACAATCTCTGAATTGGGCTGCCATATCCAGTAATTATCTAAATAAATGTGAGCATTACAGCATCTTTGTCTTTCTAGTTTTTTTTTAGCTCCAGGACTCTTGTGAGGCTCAGAAATGTAGCAAATGAATTTAAATGGCTTCTTCAAAGGAGATTCAAAAGCACTGAACAGGCGAAGCTTACCTCTATATTTACCAATAAAAGTTACCCGTAGAATGGCTTCTGTTCATATCTAAGATTTTTGCTTATTTATTAGAAATAGCAAAGAGGTGCTTCAACCAATTTTATGCTATGTTTATGGAAGAGGAATATATACAATAAAGAATTTCATTTCTGAGAGATGTTGTGTGTGTCCATAGGCTGTTGAGATGCCTGCATATATGAAATTGTTTTATATTTTTGTTCATTTCTCAGAGATCTACAGGGCATAATCAGATCTGTTTTCTGTTGTTTTTTGGGGGATTGCAGCAAAAATTTATTCTAAGAAAGATGATTTTGTAACGTTTTGTTGAGAAAGCAAACCAGTCTTGGACAGCAAACTTTAATTATTACTTTTATGAGAGAATTTATCACTGCCTTTTTTTTGTTGGATCATCTTTTTTATTTCTGCATTGTTGAACTTTTCCCTCTCCTTTTTTTTACAAGTCCTAAAGAGAACTGGACTACAATAAAAGAAACATGTTAACACATATGAAAATATTAGCCAAATGATAAAGAAATAATCTGCTTAGCTGGATATTTATTTTATGGGCTGCTGTAGTCACTATCAATTCAAAGAGATAACTCAACTCCCCCTTTGTAATATGTACTACAACCAAAATACAAAAGATGACATAAATTTTAAACACCACACAGATAAGATCCTTGGAGTAGAACACAGTGAACCCTACTACTGTTCAAAACAATTTCCACTACCAGAGGGACAAAAATATAATTCTCCACTCCCCCTCCTCCTCCCCAAATCTGCATCCATAATGTCCTTTCCAGGCTTTCTGAATGCCAGAGAGGAGGGGGGCAATGAAGAAGAGGCACATTCCCTTGGCTGCTGCAGATGCCATCCCTGAGCAAAGAGACCTGGAAGGAGCCTCTTCTACTTAGCCTTATGGGATTTCTCCGCAGGAAGACCAAGGATGGTTCTGAGGGAGACAATCCTGCCTATTAAATTGTCTGTGTTAGTCTTATTAGCTTCCATTCCGTTTATTCTGTGCATCCTGTGTAGATAACAAGAAAATTCCATTTCTAAGGCTTTAGAAGCTGAAGATATTTGTGAAACACAAGCTGACTTGTCACTCCAGGTACTGAATAAACTCAGAACATACAGGTAGTCTTTAACTTACAATACTTCATTTGGTGACCGAAGTTAAAACAGCACTGAACTAAGTGACTTATGACTGTTTTTCAGTTACCACCTTTGCAGTATCCCTATGATCATATGCTCAAAATTCAGATGCTTGGCAACTGGTTCATATTTATGATCGTTGCTGTGTCCCAAGCTTATGGGATCACTTTTTGTGACCTTCTGACAGGCAAAGTCAATGGAGAAGCCAGATTCACTTAACAACCATTACTAACTTATCAACTGCAGTGATTCACTTAACAACTGAGGCCAAAAAAAGTCATAAAATGAGGCAAAACTCATTCAACAAATGTTCCACTTAACAAGAGAAATTTTGGCTCAATTGTGATCATAAGTCAAGGACTACCAGTAATGCCAAAGAGCTGACCAGATGGGCTTTTCACTGAAGCATTTTTTTTTACTTTTCTCTCTCTGTCCCAGGGTAGTACGAAAATCTTGAAATATAGACAAGAAGCAATCTTGATTGAAAGTCAGGAAATGAGATCACTGATTTCTAACAAGTAAATATTGATTATGCATTATCAAGTCATGGTGAAATCTTAGTAAATGCACAGTTGGACCATCTCTGGGATGATCTGCCCTTACTCTAACCATTCAGATCTCCTGATGCACCTATCACTGCGCTAATAAAATCCTTTTCACTTTTCTACTTCAATCTTTTCTGGCATTATGGACTTCTCAAGAGAATTGGACTTTTGCATAGTGTGTCCATTATATGATAATGATAATTTGAGCCTAATAATTTGTACCTTAAAATAAATTTTAATTCATTTGTTCCATTTGTTTGTTTTCTGACAATCTATGGTGTCCTTAGGACTTTTCATAGTATTAATACTCTTTTTATCCAGTTTCTAGAAATTTCCTGCATGATTTTGTGATCTTTGTGATCAGATATAAACACATCACTGCATCAGCTTCTTCTGCACTGGTAATTGGAGAGTAAAATTGGATATCTTGTTATTGAGAGAGTATCTTCACCATTTCATTGTGATTTACCATTGCCTTTTCCCATGCGGTATGGAATTCCACTTTTACTGTTGTCACTAAAGTGGTAATTCACCTCCAGCATATTCTTAAATAGTTGCTGCCCAATATATTACCTGCTTGCCTTAGCTGAGCAGCTGGGATGATCTTCATACCTCTGTGGCATTGCTGAGTGTATATTTTAGTGTATAATCCCAGAATACCAGTCTCGGCGTGAAATCCGAAGGGACGCGTTTTGCAGCGACAGCCTCCGTCCGCACCGTAAACAGCTGGTTTCTGGTGTTTTCTGGGAATTGCAATCGAGGTGAAGGCGCTCCTTTCGCCTGGCAAAATGCCGGCGGTTCCGGGATTAGTCGGTCACGTGTCGCCTGCTCGGCTCTATAGCGGCGGCGGCGGCGGCCCTCGGGTGTAGGCCTATGGCAGGGGCTGCGAAGAAGCAGGTCCGCTTTGCCCGGCTGGAAGAAGAGGGAGCGCGGGAAGAAGCGGGAGCCTTCGGGGACGCCGCTGGAGAGGATGCGGCCGCCGGAGAGTCGCCGCCTGGATGCTCGGCGCCCCTTGCCCTTCAGCCGGTCGTGAAGGTGGCAGGTGGCAACGGCCGAAGAAGCCGGGCAGGTGGCGGTGGCCTTGGCGGGGGAAAGCAGGCGGCGGCGGCGGCGGCATCCCGGCGGGCACTGAAGTGGTGCATTTCGGCTGCTCTTTGCGCCGCTTTCCTGGGCCTGGTAAGGAGGCGAGGAAGCCAGGCGGACGGGCGAGCGAGCCGGGCAGCGCGCAGGGTGACAGACAGCCGGCTTCGCCCATCCAACGACCCCGCGAGCGCCTTGCCCTTATGGCCCAGCCCGCAGCTTCCTGGGAGCAGCGAAAGAAGTCCGGGGTTGTTGGCCGCTGTCTCTGGCGCCCTTGAAAGAGCGGCAGTCGGCAGACAGATGAGTGAGAGATCCGGCGGGGATCTCTCTGCCTTCCTTAAGGAGCAAAGGTGGTCCTGCTGGAATAGGGACACATGGAGACCCTCCGCCTTTTGGCCTGCTTTTGTTCAAGCCTAACATACAGGTAGTCCTCGACTTATGAGCCCACACTTGAGCACAACATTCATTTATTTATTTATTATTTTATTTTATTTATTTTGTCAAGCAATCATAAGATAACAAGTATAAGTAAAAACATAGTTATGAATACATGGATACATATAAGAAAAATAAAAGAAACAATAGGACAGAGAGAGTAGGCACGTTGGGGCGCTTATGCACACCCCCTACAGGCCTCTTAGGAAAGGGTCAATAGTAGACAGTCTAAGGTTAAAGTTTTGGGGGTTTGGGGAAGAAACCACAGAGTCAGGTAGAGTATTCCAGACATTGACCACTCTGTTGCTGAAGTTGTATTTCCTGCAGTCAAGTTTGGTGCGGTTAACCTTGAGTTTGTATCTATTGTTTGCTCTTGTATTGTTGTGGTTGAAGCTGAAGTATTTATTGACAGGTAGGACATTGCAATGTATGATTTTATGTACTATACTTAGATCGGACCGAAGGCTGTCTTAGGTTGTCTAGGTCTAAAATTTCAAGTCTGGTGGCATAAGGTATTCTGTTACGAGTAGAGGAGTGGAGAACATTTCTGCTGCTAAGTGAGAAGTTCGTTATAAGTTATATAATTATATAAGTTATATATAATTATAAGTTATAAGGAGTGGAGAACATTTATACTGCTAAGTGAGAAGTTCGTTATAAGTAGGTTTTGCCCCGTTTTACCACTTTTCTTCCACACTGGTCAAGTGAATCACTGCAGTGGTTAAGTTAGTAACATGGTTGTTAAGTGAATTGGGCTTCCCCATTGGCTTTGCATGTCAGAAAGTCGCAAAAGGTGGATCTCCGTGATCCCAGGGCACTGTAACTGTCATAAATATAGGCTAGTTGCTCAGCATCTGAATGTAAATCACGGGCCCATGGGGATGCTGCCACAGTCATAAGTCTGAAAAATACCCATGAGTCACTTTTTTTTCAGTGGTGTAACTTTGAACGGTCAGTAACTAACTGTTGTAAGTCAAGGACTACCTGTACAATACTGTCAGTGTAATGCTGACAATGACAACCATAACCACTACATGGCATTGAATGTTTATATTCCGCTCTTGCTCTGGAAATTGAAAGTCGGGTTGCCTGGCAGGTTTCATTTTGGCAGCAACCATCTAGGTTGGGATGAGAGACAGTACCTGGCTCAAAAGCACTTTGTGAATGCTGTGGTCAATTTGAAGCTGAGTAAGCCTTGACTTCAACCAGCATCCTAGCTTCCATGCTGAAGAATACATAAAATACTTCCTTTTCTTAAATGAGTAGGTCATGTTCTTCATGATAGATGAGATTAACAAAAAGGCTTGGACACAGATGCTGTGGACAGAGGAATGATGTTTGGCTCCTTTTTTTAATTAGTGAGACATGAAAACTAACAAACATGAATCTGAATTCAATAAAAGACAAAATAAAAGTCTGGATAAAATTAAATAAAATAAAAAATTGAATCTTAGCTTAGGTAGATGAAGGTTCTGATAGTAGACCTTTTGGGAGAGGTGCTGGTGAATGACCATAATAAAGTTTGATTAGTGATGGTAAATTTATTTTGGTTAAGGTTGCATTGCCCTTGAATGATACAGGAATAATTCCTTATGGAGGTCTTGATCCATATAATCAACTGGAACCAGAAATCTGGAGTGCATTTTGCCAGTCTTGGGTATTTGACACTTTGCCTGTTTTCATATTGACATACCTGTTTTCAAAAAATATCCTTGATGCCTATTGCGTCAGTCTTCTACTGGGTACAATTTGCTAGATCAGTGATGGCTAACCTTTCTGTCCTCGTGTGCCAAAAGTGTGCGCGTGCAAGCGTGCCAGCACCCATAAGGGCACACTGCCCCTACTCCTTGCACATGCGACCCCCCTATGCTAGGGGTGGGATTCTACCAGTTCACTCCTATTCGCTAGAACCGGTTGTTAACATTCTAAGCAGTTCGGCGAACCAGTTGTTAGAAGAAATTACTGGCCTAATCCTGTAAGGAAGGCAGGAAGGAAACATTCTGGTGTTGCTTACAGAAACTGCCTCTCTGTTAACCCTTATTACATTCTTGGCAGGACTAGACTTCCTGTCTCTGGAACGTCTCTGGATTTTTTTCCACTCCTTTGCTGGTACTTTGCTTGTGTGGAGTGACCATTCAAAGTTACAATGGGACTGAAAAAAGTGACTTATGACCCTTTTTCACACTTACGACTATTGCAACATCCCCACAGTCATGAGAAGCTAGGCGAGGAGATGCGTGCCTCGATGTGAGTGATATTGAGTTGGCCACGTCCAGCCAATAACATGACCACCAAGCCACATCCACCCGGTCACATGACCACCAAGCCACGCCCACCAACTAAGCCATGCCCACAGAACTGGTTGTTAAAAAAATTGAATCCCACCCCTGCCCTATGCATGCTGCAAATTTCTCCTGTGCACACCCTGCCCCCTGTACGTGTATGGCAGCTACTTGACAATCAGCTGGTGGGTGGGCGGCACGTGCACCTGCGCAGTGTACCTGCTCTGGGGCAATGGCTTGTGTGCCAGCAGAGATGGTGTGATAGATGATGATCTGCGAAATAAACCTCTTAGAGGAGGTCTTAAGAATTTCTGAGAGAGAAATTTCTCTCACCAATGAAGGCAAATATATGTGTCCAGGATCCTGCAGAAATTTCTCTATTCTGAGAAATCTTCAAGGGAGATTTCCACTGGTATGGTGCAGAATTTGAGTGTGTGAACGAACTGATGTATATGCACACAAAGTCCACCTCAATACAAGGAGCTTCTTTTAATAAGATGTCAGCAGTTGCAACTTTGGCTTTATCCATGTGGTTTGTGTTATGAATTCTTTCAACTTTTTTGTGATACCTTTTTTGTGATAAATAGGGTTATTATGGTCCCTAGTCATGCTAGATATGTGATACTCTAGCCATGGTGGTGAACCTATGGCAAGCATGCCAGAAGTGGCACGCAGAGCCATTGCTGCCGGCACGCGAGCCCTCGCCCAGAGCAGGTCTATTGTGCTTGCGCACGCACGGGACAACCAGTTTGGTGTGGTGCAGTAATTAAGGCAGGGGTGTCAAACCCGATCCGGCCCGTGAGGTGCTTAAATCTGGCCCACAGGACCAGCCTGGAAATAGCAGAGGACCAGACTGCGGTGCGTCCAGCAGCCAAAACGGGGCATGGGGGTGGGGCCAAGTGCAGCCCCAGCCTGGATGGCCTCCAGCACACTGCTGGCCAAAATGGGGCATGGAGGCTGCATGCTGCCCCCTGTGCCCCATTTTGGCCAGCAAGGTGCTGCAGGAGGCGTCCGTCCTGTCTCCCCCACCGCCAGCTGGCCCGCAAAGGAAAACTGCAATGCTGCTTCCGTCCTTGAAGAAATCTAGGTTGACACCCCTGGATTTAAGGCATCAGGCTAGAAACTGACTGACTGAATTCTAGTCCTGTTTGAGGCATAAAATCAGTTGAGTGATCTTTGGGTGGTCTCTCAGCCCTAAGAAGGAGACTGACAAATAGTGGCAAACCACTTCTCAAAAACCTTGCCAAGGAAATCACAGAGACTTGTTTAGGAAGTTTCCAGGAATCAAGATTGACTTAAATACCAAGAGGCAAAGGAAACCTTAGGCAATATAAGTTGCAGGGAGCTACAAATGGAACTATATCTGCTGCCAGGCCTTGTTTATAGGTGTCATAGAAACACCCTTTTGGTAATTGTGGAGAAAGGGTATACTTCTCTGGTATACTGCACAGAACAGTGAGGGTAGATGTAGTTTATTAACTTCAGTCAGCCTTATTTACAAATAAGCATACTTAGGATTCTAAAGGTTGTAAGTTAACTATTGAATTGTTTGAACAATTTTGCAAAGCTTTATTAAGAACAACTATTTTTATTTCTTATTGATTTTATTTATTTCTAGGGGATGGCTATTGCTATTCTAGGACCAACCTTTCAAGACTTGGCTGCAAATGTGAACAAAAATGTTAGTCAAATTTCATATATCTTCGTGGGCCGTTCAGTGGGATACTTTGGTGGTTCTCTAATTGGTGGAATACTTTTTGACTGCATGAACTCCAAGTTACTTTTGGGTAAGTGGATAAAAATGAAAATGAATAATATAGATTGTTGACCTTGTAATAGAAGAAGTGTTGCATATCTATCCCTAAGTGAGTAATAATTGTGTTTTTAGATATACTGTTATTAAATTATAATGAAAATTAGACAAAGGCAATATTGAAGATCCTTTTACTTAGCTGATCAGAAATGGGATAGTAATTATATCAGTTCTTTCCCTCTAACCTCTTTCTAAAAGTTATTTTAACTTCGTCCAAATGTGTATCCATTACAGGGATGAACAAAAAGTATGGGAAGGGACCTTGGAAACATGTAGTTCAGCTCTTTGCAGAAACCTTCAGAAGAGTAGATTCTATCACCTCATAAATTTCTCCTTGCAAGTCCTTGGTTTTCTTGGTTTCTATCTTCTGCCATGTGCCCTAGTTGGTGCTCGTCCTAAAATGTAATGCTCAAAATTTAAAATTTTGACTGCTGTCTACCAATCAGTACATCAGGCTATTTGGTGCTGGCCGTTTCTTTCACAGCCATTTCTGTTTTAAATTTGGTGCTGTCTTACGCTGTGCCAGAATGGTTTTTTCTTCATCCTGATTGGTTGGGAGTCTTGGTCT